AGCTCTGATACCCTGAAGAACAATTGAATCTTTTATATATTCTTTATGATCAGATACATTGTATATTTATACAGATATCATGTAACAAACTTTTAACAAACTATAACAAACTCTAACTAACTTTGAGTTAACAAACTCTAATTACTAACTAACCTGGGTTCAACAAACTAACTACTGAACTAACTAAACAAACTAACTACTGAACTAACTATCTTGAGGTCTTGAGCTTGCTGCAGAGCCATCTGATGCAGAGAGAATCTTATCATCCCCCGGCAAGCGGATGGGAGGAGAAGTGACCAGCAGCTTGGACTGAAGGTAATGAAATCGAGCAACAGACAGTGGTTTGGTGAAGATATCTGCAATTTGCTCAGCAGAGGGTATGTAGTAAAGAAGAAGCTTCTTGGAAGCAATTTTGTCACGAATAAAGTGACAATCAACTTCGATATGTTTGGACCTTGTGTGAAACACAGGATTGGAGGCTAAGGCAATGGCAGATAAGTTGTCACACCAAAGAATAGGAGTGGTTACAAGAGGGAGAGAAAGATCATGAAGAAGCATTTGTAACCAACTAAGTTCAGCCGTAGCAAGAGCAAGAGAACGATACTCCGCTTCGATGCTGGATCTAGACACGGTAGGCTGCTTTTTAGCAGACCAAGAGATGATGTTAGAACCAAGGAAAACACAGTAACCAGAGGTAGATTTGCGATCAACAGTGTCACCAGCCCAATTTGAATCAGAAAAGGCCTGAAGCTCAAACGAACTAGGATGAAAAGTTAAGGCGCTCGGCTCCAGCACGCGGCGCGCGTGCGGGCGCGGACGGCGCGCGTGCGTGGACAGCGCCGCCGACGCGCGCGTGATGGCGCGTGCAGGCGCGTCAGCAGGGCATCCGGCGCGTGGTGGCGCGTGGCGCTGCTGGGCGGCGTCATACAGCGCGTGTATCACACGCGCCGCCTTCCCGGGTGTTTTCTGGTCCGATTTTTATACTGCCGGACTCCTTTTTTCAAAATAAAATCATTTATGCTCTTAAAAATGACATTAATGATCATAAAAATGAAATATTTTGGATCTCCACATCTTTTTATAAATATACACATGATAAAAGAAAGCACGAAAATATCCATCAATGGCTCTGATACCAATGTAAATCAGAGATCAAAACTTGCAGTGGAATAAAATGTTTAGATCATACCTGATTCGATCTAAAACCTCATGGATAAATCACGTGCTTCCAAAATCTAATCAATCAATCCCAGCAGTGGGGTGATATTACAATGGTGAATATCACCCACACAAACCACAGTGCAAATGACTTGATCGTTGTTTCTTGGAAGAGAGTAAGTTTGTGGGTTGAAACAAAACCTACGTTGTTTCTCTCTTGGTTACCCATAACCATATATCAGATATATATTATATTATTATTATTTATCCATATCAGTTAAAACTGATAATATCTATATCCTGAGTGGTTATCCTAAATAGGTTTGAATTTAATTCAAAACCTATTTGGATAAGATCCAAATTATGTTCAAATGGTCATGCCACATGGGCGCCCATTACTAACATAGTAGGATATCAAAGACAACATATCCACAAAAATATCAGAATTTTTACAGGAACTTTGATTGTCGGAATCAGAGCTCAATGAACGCAGTCAGGCCCGACCGCTTATCTAGGAGTAGATCAACACCATTGGCCCCTCCGATCTAGAAGTTCTCGCGAAGAGAACAAGATGCTGCTCCCCCTCCCTCTTTTCCTGCTTTGCTAATCTTCTCCTCTAAGGCGGGCCGGTGGCGGCGGAAGCAGAAGGAGGAAACCAATATTATACTCACTTTTCACTGAGAACTGCCAAGTCCAATCGTCTGTTGCATTCATAATTGAGATAGATAGGCTCACAATGATATCAGGTAGTATATTGCACAACATTTTCGTAATTGAGATAGGTAAGCCCACAATGATATCAGGTAGTTTATAGCACAACATTGCAAAGTTCGGGTAAAAAGTGTACACGACCGACTCAAGTAACACCTGCCTTGCCAAAGATAAACATTTCTCTGTCTATCCTGCATGTCTCTGTTTAACCCCATCCGCGACAAATTAAAAAGTTCCATCGTGGACCCACCCATATGCAAAGGCAACCCCAAGTATCTTTGAACATGGCCGACAAACCTTCAATACAAATCAAAAAGAGAAACGGTGATAACAAATTCCCTTGTCTCAACCCCCTAGATGGAACAATGAACCCATGTTTGTGCCCGTTAATCAGCAAGGAATGAAATACAATAGAGACAAATTACATAATCAACTGATCCACAGCATTGCAAATCCCGACTTGCTCATAATAGCCACCAGATGGCCATTCAACTCTATCATAGGCCTAGCTCATGTCAAGCTTAACAGCCATAGAACAATTTTTACCACACCTCTGACTTTTCAGATAATGCATGATCTCTTGGGATAATAGAACAATTTCAACCATACCCCTCATTTTTCTCTTTGTATATCATTTCTATTAGCTAATCATGATCACAATGATCAAAATTATGTTTTTAAAGGGACCACACTATGCCACATCATTCTATACAAAAAATTTCTACAATTTGTCTGTGTGCATATCAATACTCTATTAATGCATGGTGAATAAGTGATGCATCATGTATGCAAAGTACAAAAAAAATGAAGGATATATTGTCAACTCAAATGCCCTGCCCCTCCCAGTTGAAGTGGCTGTCCATACCAAACACCTAAATCTGCTTAAACCATGTAAATTTGGAGTCAAAAACACTACTCCTATTTTATATTTTGACAATAAACAAGTTACGAAATAATACTCCAACAATTTTCTCACCAATAGAAGTTATATATTACAGATAAGCACTCACAAACAGTTATATTACATACAAGCACACTTAACTAACAATTTCTAGTGCAATCAAACACTCAATCTCTAATTGGTATATTTTCTCTGATAGCACCTTTGAAAACACCATTTCTATTTGATTCAGAACAAGGGAGGGAAGCCATAGCAAGACAATCTTCATCCTGAAACATATTATCAAATTGGTTTTACATTTTCAGCCAAAGGTAAACAAGCTACTAGCTTAAATTAATATCTAATTTTTAAAATTTAATATTTTTGCATTATAAAATTACATTGGGGTTTCTCAACATTCTTTAGCTTTTGTGTAACTCATTACTAATAATTTTTAAAATATATATTATTCACAAGCGTATCATAATCGTACCCGTGTTCTATTTTTTTAGGTTTTGTTGTATTGCCGTACCTATATCGTATCATATCCGTCATATCCATGCTTCCTAGTCTATGAGGAGGGCACCTTTATATAAAGGCAGGTACCCCCATGTGTGAGAGGTTTGTGAATTTATGTGTTAATTTGAGTTAACGTTACTCTGTCGAAATATCTTGAGATATTAGTTTACTGACTTTATCATCGAAGTGTCTGAGCAACCGGGTTAGTTATTCTTCTAATTGTGCAAACATGGATCTAGGCAGCCTGTTCTACGGCTGTGTTTCTAGAATTCTAGGAGAAATATTAGAGTATTGGTTGTGTGATCAAATTTTAGCATACATCCTTAATTTTGGGGGGGAATTACATGCAGATGGAAGAAGAGAATAAAAATTACAAATACATGGAGGGTGCAAGTATGTCTGTGGTGAGGTGGGGTGCAAATGAAAGACAGTGGGGTGCACGTGACACTTGCACAGCCCTCCATGTGTTGGCAATTTCTTTCTCCTTCCCCCACCTACATGTAGTTTCTTCTAATTTTTTTCCATACTTGACCACATGGATATTGTTATCTAATACTTACATATTACATATACCAAAAATGTTTACAAAAATTAAAAAAATAAAATAAAAATGAAAATGAAATATGAAATATGAAATATGAAATATGAAAAAACATAAAATGCTATATGCTGTAAGCTTAATTAAATTAAAAAATAAAAAAATGAAAATGAAGTGAAAGAAACTATTTTTATGTAATTGTAAATTAGAAATTTTAGTTGTTATATTGTTCGAGAAAATCTAATATATATTTATCTTGTGTGATAAATGTAATTTTTATAATTCATTCAATTTTTATTTTATTTTTTTTATCTAAAATGTTACTAATACACGTAATGACACACATTTCTATTAGTTAATACTTACAATAAAATATTAATAATAACACAATTCAAACACAACTTTAGTGCAATTCAAATGAAAACAACTCATTCACATAATTTCAACTATTTTTTTCTTTTAAATTTTAAAAATATTATTTTAATTTTTAAGAAAAAATTTTACTATTTATTTAAGGCTGTACAGTTTTATGCTAGTTTATATATACACAAGATAGATTTCTTTTATTTGACGTAGGGTTGAATCCAAAATGAGAAATATGACAGAAAAGAAAAGATTAAACATAAATATAAAAAAGAACATACCTTGCAGAAGTTGTATCATTACACTTTGACTCAAAGGGCTCAGGGATGTTTTCTAATCAGCACTTTCAACCAATTATTTCCAATGCTCTCTTGCTCTTCCTTAATTTTCCTGACAGATTCCTCAACAGAGAAATGACAAAAGTTTACCTCAATCAGCTGCAGAGTGAGTATATCCCCAAAACTAGATGGTATTTCCTTGAGATATTGACACCGTTCCAAAGATAAGTGTTGAAGGCTTGGAAAGTGACTAGAGCAGGTGATCCATTGCTTAACATTGAGGTTCTTCAGTTTCAAGAATTTGAGTCGAGGAAACCCACCATCAGTTGCCCATTGCCATCCCAAGGCAGCATCATGTTCTAATTTGAGAAGCTCAAGGTTGGGTAACAACATCCCAAGGACTGATATCTCCTCCCACTCTATTCCTGTACGTTTCAAGGTAAGCCTTTTAACATTTGTAGGAAACTTGAACTCTCGGAAATTGGTTGGATACAACAACTCATTCTGTAGCTTCAAAGTCTCAAGGTGTCTTAAACATTCTAGATTAGGAAACATGAAATTCCCTGAATCTAACAACAGACGTCCACAAATTCCCAGCTTTGTAAGAAAAGGAGTTCTTGCCAATAAATCATGAATAGATCCATAAGGGTTTAATTTTGCGATGGTTCGTAGGTTTTCAAATATAGAGGGATGGTTGTGATCCATGACTGCTTCTTTAGAACATAAAGACACATCATATTTTGCTCCTCCTTTAGCATAAAGATGCCTCAACTTTGGAATCTTCCAAACATTACATGCCAGAATAACCTTTCTCCATTGTGTACAAATAATAATAAGTGTTTCTAGGTTTGAGAGATTGGATATTGATGGCGGTAATTCACAGGAATATTTCAAATTAATTGCCAAATACCTCAAATTAACAAGTCGTGTTAATTCTCTTGGAAAGAAGGCATTGTTATAGCATATTTCCAACACTCTAAGAAGTTTGAAGGTCCAACATATAAACGAGCACATATCACTGAACAGATTGTAATCGTAACGAATTATTCTCTCAAACACACGTCTGAAGCACAATAATGATTGAAGAACTGTTGGGGAATAAGATTGTAAGAAAATATGATCAAATCTTGGTCCCAAGTAAGAAGGGATGCACAGGCGGTGTTGGTCGTAATTACTTGAAGAAGAAGGAGAAGCGTCTTTATAATTGTGAGTCCACTGTAGGAAATTAATTTCCCCGGCTTTCTTCAAGCATAAATCACGCAACAAATCATGCATACGACATGCTTTAATTCGACCATCAAACCTTTTTTGAGCAACAATTACCAGGCTTCTCTGAAACAGATCCATTAAGTAACCCTCTGCTACTTCCTCGACGCTTCTTTGCCCAATTTTTTGTATAAACCCCTCAGCTACCCACAAACAAATTAACTTCTGCACTGGGATTTCTTGGTCTCTTGGAAATGCTCCTAAATAGAGAAAGCATGGTTTCAAGTGGCGAGGCAAGTGATTGTAACTCAGTGCTAGTGTGTCCAAGTACTGGTTTGGATCACTAACAACGTATGAGCTTACACTTTGGGCAACTTGTTTCCACGACTCTAGTGTCTTGATGTTCTTTGCAAGAAGTCCTGCTATTATAACAATTGCAAGTGGAAGCCCTTCACATTTTTTCATTATTTGCTTCCCAATTTCAATCAGTTCTGGAGGGCAACTTTCATTTTGAAACACCTTCCGTTGTAATAACTCCCAACTCTCTTCTTCAGTGAGAAAACGCAGACAATGAGGATGGCAATCAGGTGAGGCATGCATAGACAACTCTTTGAGGCGACTAGTGAACATAACTCTACTTCCATTGTTGTCATTGGGAAAATACATTTTAAGATCAACCCAGGCACCAATATCCCATAAATCATCAATGACAATGAGATATCTCTTGCCTTTTAATTGCTTGTACAACTTTTCACCTAGTTTCTCATTGGTCATGTTTTCAATTTCATCGGTAAAGACGACATTAAGAGAACGTAAAATGTCCAACAACATATCTGTTTGTCTGGATAATTGAGAAGCATAGGTCCATGCACGAATATGAAAGTAGTGTGTGATGTAAGGATCATTGTACAGTTTTGTGGCTAAAGTTGTCTTACCGAGTCCAGGCATCCCAACAATTGATATCATTTGTAGCTGCTTCTTCCCTCCAGCAAGTAGCTCTTTTATAGTCAACGCCTCATCATCAAAGCCCACTGTAATTTCTTCATGTACCATGGTTCTGTTCTCCATTGACATAGACATTGACGGGACTCCATCATTGAAATCTTGTAGGAGTTGGATCTGATTTATCTGGTCATAAAACTGCACCACTTTTGCCTCGATCGGCTTAATCTCTTCAATGATATTTGTGCCAATTAAAATATCAAAAAAACTGTCACCGTTGTTGTTGCAGTCCCTCTGCCCTGGAACTTGAACATCGAAAAAACGGATGAGTTGTCTTGTCTTGCAGATCACATAATAAATTTGCATCGGCAGGTTTTTAGCTTCATAGTTCAGCTCATGCTGCTGCTGCTTCTCTTCCAAATCCTTGAGAATGGTTGCTAGGAATGTTAGCCGATAGTAAAAAGAGTCGATATGATCAATCTGATCTGCGGTCAAATTGCAGGCCTTACTGATCATTAGATGATTCAGTTTCTCCAAGACAGAATAATTTTCACCCATCTCCCTCTCGATCTCTCTCTGTTTCTCCAAGACAGAATAAATTACACCCATCTCCCTCTCGAATCTCTCTCCCAGTTTCTCCAAGACAGAACAATTTTCACCCATCCTCCTCCCGAATCTCTTTCTCAGTTCCTTTCTCAGTTTCTCCAAGACAGAATAATATTCACCCATAGCCCGATTTCGGTGCTCTGCTATCTCTCTCTCTTTCCATCTCTCTATCTTTCTCTCTCTCTCTCTCTCTCTTTCTCTTTCTCTTTCTCTTTCCATAGCCCGATTTTATCTGTCTCAAGTTTTGTGTTCTGAACACGGAGTGCAATCAAAAAAGATTTATTGCATCCAAAATGTTGACTCTGGCTAGAATTTAAACAAATTACAGTTACCTCCTCTAACAATTTGCTTAAATTGCAGCTGTCCTATTAGTTTGACAAAATATAACATTGGCTTCCACCGATGTCCTCAAAAGTCAACTCCGTCGACGAGAGTCATGAAATAACAAAATTACTTTTAGGTCTCGTTTGGCATAATTTTAAAAAGTTAAAAAATTATTATCCTATTTAAGTCACATCATGTTATTTAAATCACATCATCTTTCTACCACATCACTTTACAATTATCACTACTCTTCACCTCATCTCATCTCACTTTTATTAGTACCGCCTTTTCTCATTGTCGACAGAGATCAAAGTGGGAAAAAAAAAATTAAAAAATCAAAAAAATATCAAGAATCAATAACTTGGTTATGGTGGGGGAAATTGGTTGCGATAATTCAATAAAGTTATTAGCATAATTAGTAGTGAAAAGAATAACAATTCATGTTATAAGTGTAACATTAGTTATTCTGTTAGATTAGTGAGATAAATAATTATCTTTTGTCTATTTTATTTTATAGTAGATACGAAAATATATGATTGCAATTATATAATTGTTTTGTATATTAGTTGTAGGAATAGGGATGATCATTGGTTTAATGATAAAATCTTAACCAAATAATTTTGAGGTTATGGATTCAAGTTACAGACAACTGTTTTGTATACTATGCCAATTATATAATTGTTTTGTATATTAGTTGTAGGAATAGGAATGATCATTGGTTTAATGGTAAAACCTTAACTTAATAATCTTGAAAGTATGGGTTCAAGTTACAGGACAACTACTTTGTGTACTATGCCAAAGGGTAGGTGTGTACCTAATATTTGCATTCTAAACACACATTAATGTATACTAATTAAGCATTATTTTATATATATATATATATATTAGTTATAAGATTAAAAAATTTGCAAATTTTGTTGAATAGAATATCAATCGAAATCTAATCAAAATAACAAAAATTGCAACCAAATAATAAAATGTGAGTCCTGTGAATTAATAATTGAAAATTTTAGCCAAAACCCCTTAGACCTAACATGTTAATGTGTAAAAGACAGTCAAAAATATCTTACTTCATAAACTCCTGAGCAACAATCACTTCCTCCATGAAGGATAGAATATTATTTTTTCTCTTTTTTCTAAACAATTTTGCACCTATGTATATATATCTCACGGAGTGTAAGAAAATGCAACAATATATACTATGACACCTTAAATATTTAATTAATTTTAACTCCGTGTTAATATAAACTAATTATGATTAGAAAAAAAATATATGTATTGGATATACTCCAAATGTAATTTAATTTAAGTTAGGGGTTGTTGCAATTTTTCTTTTTTAAAAAAAGAGACAGGGATTGTAATACAATTAATTTAGTTTTTGGGCCATAGAACAATTAACTATTTGTTAGGATAAACTTTGTCTTTGTTTGGATAAAGTTTGCCTAGTGATAAGAATGAAAACAATAAGGGGTGGCAAATAAAGCCACGTGTTGAGTGAATCACCTGCACAAGTAGGTGAATTCCTGAGGATGAAGTGACCAAAGAGAAAGGAATCAACATAGTGAAAGAGACTCGAGAAAAGGAAAGAGATTCAGAAAAAGGAAAGTAAGGGTTGGTTTGGGATGTTCTAAAAAAGTGTACTTTTTGATTTATTGGCTTATATGGGTTGGGTTTGGGTTGGGTTTGATGTGATGTGTTAGAGAGGTGATGTGATTTAAATAAGTTGATGTAACTTAAATAGGATAGTGACTTTTTAACTTTTTGTATTATTTAGGTCATGCCAAACTTGGCCTAAAATTAGGGCGGTCTCCGCCAATCCCTGGTCAAATTAGAAAGCATTGTTAAATTTATAGGGTCAGTCTTATTTTAATAATTTGAATTATTTAATTGGTAAAATTCGTTAAATGTTTTATGTTTATAAAATATTACGTTGATCGGATATTGATAATTATTTTATTGAATTCGATTTCTGTTAACCGTTTATTTTTTTACCGTCTATTTTTTTTATGCAAAACTGATTTGATCACGTGACTATCGATATTCGATCAACGTGATTTCTTACAAATCTATAGTATTCGATGAGTTCTACACATTAACGGTTCAAATTATCAAAACGGGATTCGTGGTAGGCCCTCACAGGCCCAACAGCATCCTTCAATCCGATCACAAACTAAAGGGATGCTAGCCCCTAAAATTAGGAGTTGCTATTTAGGTGATTTATATTATATCTTAAATAATTATGAATTATTTTATGAATTATTTTATATAAATTATATTAATATTTTATTTATGGTATTTATTTTATGAACTCTATTTGTTTACAAGAGAAACCTATAGATATAAATTGTTTATAATTTTGGGGATTTGATATTTACTGATATGTTTTGTGAGTATCACCACGGATGTCTCAGGCCTTGAGGACTTAAAAAACCATTGCCCTCTGATTAATCACTTTAGTAGCCCTCTGTTTGTTATGAATCCATTGAACATATACTTTGTTCTGTACCGTGATTATGATTATTTTACTTACATAATTTATACATGATATTTTTGTTATTTAAAATGATTTATTTATTTAAACCAAACTTTCACTATTTAGCCTAAATAATTATCTATGGTAATTTTTATACCTTATGTTCTTAATATAATATTTATCACTCTGCCATGTACTTATAACTGTTAAACCCTTTCAGGTAATAAAAGTTAGGGAGGGGTTCTTTTTTACCCCCATAAAGCAGAACTAGGGTTTGGAATAAACACCGTATTTTGTTTTGTTTTTTGGTTTTTTTTAATTTATTAGTAATTTGTTATCCAAAAAGCAACCTAAGAAGGGGGTGAATTAAGTTTCTACAAATTAAAATTAATAATACCCCAATAAAATTAACTACTAATATAACATATTATTAACAAGCACAATGATGAACTTAGTAGTAAATGATCAAGCAAAATAACAATGAAGTATAACTAACATATAGGGTAAATCAAATGATTAACACATGAATATTAGATAGTTATAGCAGTAGTAAGAAATTAAACAGATTAGAGAAGAGGAGATAAACAGATTTATAGTGGTTCGGCTTCAACTAAGCCTACATCCACTCCTCACGCTTCACTTGAGATTTTTCACTATCTTCTACCTTCATAGGGGTGCTAGCAACATCTTTACAAATGGAGCAATCCTCCACGGATTTTACACAGACTTCACAAGCCCAAGCCAAGCCCTTGCAAATCTTGGGTGATTCACAATCACTCTGAAAATTTCAAGAACACAGTGTTTGCAACACTTTTACAAGATAAAATGGTATTTTTGCTTTCAAAGAAAGCTTACAATAAATATATCTCAAAGATAGATATATGAAATGAAGCTTTGATTTTTCTGTAAATCTCACACAGGAAAGATGAGCTTAAAGCTATAAGGCTCAGTGTATAATTTCTGAGAATAGATGTGAGTGATTATTGATCAAAGAATATTTGCAGGTTTTTTGTCACTTGTTTACTTTAGAGACTTTGGTATATATTATAGCGATCCCGATTTCCCTTCTTTTTTTTTTTAACTGTTGTACTCGGACTTAGGTTCCGTGGAGTTGGTTGTTGTATATGTCTTGTTTACATCCTTTACTCCTTGCATTCGAGTCTTTCACGCTCGAGCGGGGATTTTGAAGCTCGAGCGGGCCCTTCGTTGTTGTCTGTCCGCTGGAGCGGGGTTTTCGACGCTCGAGCGTAGTTTTCCATCTTCCAGTATCTCCTCTGCAGAGTTGTACGCTCGAGCGGGAGTTTTGACGCTCGAGCGGGTTGTTGTGTGTGACGCTCGAGCGGGAGGGTTGACGCTCGAGCGGAGACCTGGTTCTGTAAAAGTTCTGGAAGTGTGTATTCGCCGCTTGAGCGGGATTGTTGACGCTCGAACGGGAGTCTGTGAGTGACGCTCGAGCGGGGCGTTGGACACTCGAGCGAGGCGACTAGGTTAAAGCTCCGTGTTTTGACTTTTCAAATCACTTTTTCCATTTCTCTTCTCTCTCTTACTTTTCCAAAAACCCCATTGTTGAGCTTCTCACTTTAGGACTCTACCTTCTCTCTAGGTATTGATCTAGTAGGAGTGATTTGCTCACCTTTGGCCTTTACAAAAGAGTTGTTGATCGTCGAGGGCTACCTTTTGATCCGAAAAGTTTGTGGTTTGGAGCACTTCCGTTTTCTTCGTCTTCTCGGTTGGGGGTCATCTTTTGAGGTAGGGATAACCTACTCCTTACTATGGGTTTTGTCTTTAAATTTTAGTAGTTTGAGATGTTGGAATTAGTTTGGTAATTTTGTGAAAGTTTGAGACTTTTGTGCAAATTTACAAAGTTGGGGTTTTAACCATATAAAAGCCTAGATGCATGTTTGGCATGGAAAAGTAGAATTAATGTTAAAACATTAATCAAAATGGAACCTAAGGGTTGAAATGTTAATTATGGAAAATGCCCTAATTACATTGGTTAATTAATTTATAAAATTAATTGTGAGAAATGAGGAATTGAATTGGAAATGTTGAGATTGGGAATACATGGGATTAAAGGGTGTAGTTGGATTTTATGTCACTCACCTAGTTGGAAATGTCCATTTTATATCCATTTGTTGCATTTATTTTCTGTATAGAAATAACTGCTTTGGGCTATCGGTTTATCCCTTTACTGTTCTGCTGTTTTCCGGTCGCGGTTCCGTGGAGTTAGTAGTCTAATCACTGGAATGTGTCATTGAGATTGACGATTGAAAGAATACATTAAATTTGTGTATTGTGTGATGATGTGTATAATTGTTGTTTATATGCATTGTGTTGTGTTGGAGGAGATAGGGGATGTACTCCACGGTTTAGGGGAAGATAGGGGATGGACCTCTAAACCGGATGTGTTGGGAGGAGATAGGGGATGGACTCCATAGATAGAGCTCATATGC